CTCTCTCTCTTGAAGCCAACAAGGAAGTGACTTAAACTGTAATTCATCAACTGGCTGCTAGAGGCTGGCTGCAAAAGGGAGTCAATCCCATAGACTCCCCATGTTAAAATGCCCAACTTTACAGCAGAAAAAAACATGTTTACAGCCTGGTTCAAAAAATGATTTTGGTCTAAATAGCTAATTTTGCCCTTCATGACAACTGTGAGGGGGGTGAATTTTTTTATAACTCATCCGTTTAAATTATATTAAGAATTCAAATTCTGCATAATTAAGGGCGTGGGCACTTGAGTGACAGGTGGATTGCTGCTGCTGTCACCACCATCGCTCCCGCCTCTTTGCCCATTTTCGATTATCCGGGAGTGACTCGCGGTGACACACTGCCAAGATGGCGACGGCCGGCTCCGCCCACTTTGAGCTTCAAAAACGCTCTTTAGAAACCTACGGGTGACGTCACGGACACTACGTCCATGTTTTTTTACAGTCTATGGTCAAAACATGGGTTAATTTTCACATTTGGTAAATTTTCCGTCATTGGTCAGCAGGAGGCGCTTTAACTGCAGAAACAAAGCAGTTTCCTCGGTAAAGACTGTACACAAAGCAGTGCAAAAACCTGCAGTGCTCATGTTTATTTAATGTTTGTCTGCGTTTTAGTTGGTTAGGTTTGTATTTCATTATGTTCTGTTTATTGTCATAGATATGTATACATATCTGTTTATTGTGAGATGTAGTAACTATAGTAACCACGGCGCCCATTGCCGTATGTTGCCAGAAACTACCGTGAAATGCTTAGTATAAACACTTAGGTAAGGGTGACAGTTAAGACGTTTGTTGCAACGCTCCTAAAGAAATCCCTTACCTCAGGGATTTCCCCCCCCCCTCAGGGATACCCCTAAGTCAAATTACTTAAGGACTTTCATGCAACTGGGCCCTGACTCCTAAGGAATGATGCATGGTTGTCATGGCAACATAATCTGCTTTGAAGGGAACACTGTGGCGATGTCACAGAGCAAGAGTTAGAAAGGGGAAATATTATTTGCTCATAATGCATTTATACCTGTGTGTGATCTCATTTCAGACATTCAAACCGCTGTCCATCACGCAGCGATATTTATGCACCGGTGTGGATTAGCTGTTTAACGAAAGCTAAATAATGCATCTTAAATCCAATGAAAATCTATTTATCCTACCAAAAAGTTTACACTGGAATCCATTGTAAGTTTATTAATCATAATATCTAAAGAATAAAATCAGTGTGTCTGCAAAAGACTGACACAACTAGCAGGTATCTTACGTGTATCTGTGACAAGTTCACCTAAAAGCACCCATGTCCTTCTGTACTGCTGTCACTCAAGCTCTCTGCAGCAGGAAGTAGCCTGCACTGCATTGCCATGGATTCTCTGTCTCCAAGACAACCAGCTAGGAGCAAGGGGTGTGTCAGCTGGGTAAGAGTATGGTAGCCAGATGCGAGATGATCTGTCTTTTTTTTTGCTTTTTAACACCCTGTGACAAATGTGTAAAGTTCATAGTACAACAAAAACGAAATTTTTAAGGATTAATATTACCCTTAAATAACAGGGTTATTAACATTCAATAGCCTAAAATAATGTTACTAATAATGTTACTATTAAACATAAATAACACTATAAAAATCTTATTTAAAATAAGATTCCCAGACTCAACAGAGAACCAATGATTTGTAGCTAAATTTATTTAAAATGTGCAGATTTACAGCCACATATTATGACATCATAATGTCAAAGAGCGTTTTTTTTGTGTGTTTGTTTGTTTATTTGTTTTTTAAAATGCCATCAAAGTGTCTACATCACGCAGTGACGACCCCAAGCTCCAGCGTTGCTTACATAACCGGCCATTTAAAGAGTTTTCACACACTTCAAACCTTTTTTCCCCTGTGAATAACAATGTGCTTGTGCGGCGCTTTGTGTTAAATCATAGTTGGGCAGCAAAGTTTTGGGAAATGATGGTTTGTGTGAATGGATGCGCAGGTAAATGGATGAATCGTGCTGTACTTTGAAACACTCACAAGAATACTTATTAATTATGACTGGCCTTAACTGATTAATCAATCTTTTTAATTTGTTCTTTGCTTATACTTTATTAATCCAGGGAAGTATGTCTTTTGGTGTAAATCAAATGCATATAAAATATATTAGGATTTTAAAAACAACCTGGCCAAATTTTTTTTTTTACATCTTCAGTAACCTTAGGTAACCTTTTTCGAACTGTACGCAAGAGAGAGCCCATTTCAAACTACCTTCATGTATTGAACCCGACAGACTTTTAAAAACATGGTCAGAAGGATTAGAAAAATGCTTAATCATACCTTGATGCATCAAAACTGTCATAAGACCCCACAGTGTAGTGTCGAAAGAGCTTCCTTCTCTCTGATCGGTCTGCCCGGGCATCTGTGAAGACATATTCACAGACATTTACTTTAGATCACCCCAATTATGCAATATTTCAGCGTTGCATAGTGCTCAGAATATGTGCCACTCAGAAAGTGCCATAAAATACCTTTTTATTCATTATTTTCACATAAAACAAAAGTTTCGTCCTAAAAATGTGACTGTGTTCAAGCACTAACTCAGCAAACTTTGAACATTTCTACATCATTATCATCACTATCACACCGAATATAAAATGTGCAAAAAGAATAAAAATAGAATTTTTGAAATGTACAGCAGATGTGATAAAGTGAGAATGTTGTAAAGGTTCATAATTGCATAAAAAAGCTGTCTAGTCAAATTTGTGTTACTGTGTGCCATATGTCACATGGTCACAGGTGCCATTTAAAAAAAATATTTAATCATTTTAGCCGACGTGATACCAACTGTGCTCTAGAAAAAAAATGAAATAATAACAAAAGATGCTTACAGTTTCACCAGACAGAACCTTGACATGCAGATTGTCGCTGACAAACAATACCAGCATGACACACACACACAAATAAATAAAGAAATGAAATATAATAAAATCACATTTCTTGAACACATGCCATGAGCTTAAAATAAATCCACAATTTATAACAGTGAATTCAAAACTACACTAACTATACCACCTTCCCCGTTTAATTGCAACCAATAAAAAGCTCTTTGGAAGACAGGGACCATTTGGCCCATAATGGAGCCAAACTAGACTAGTCCTCCGAGAGAGCTCAGGAAGGCCAAATATTGACTGCGTTTTATGGAAGGAACCAGGATAAGAGCCAACAAAGCTAATGAAGAGACTTTTTTATGTCGCAGAGATTAATTGTCTATCCGGATCCACTTTCGCTCTTCCGAACGTGTCTGAGGGGAGCGTTTGTTCTAGGCCGTTCATACGCCAACATGTTTGTACGACATTAAAACAACTGTCCGCAGAGGACTTATACAAATAGATAAAAAACACTGGACTAATATCTGAATTCAATCGAATCACCTTAATGTTAAGCACAGCCCCAAAGGTGCACTTATATAAGGACAGCAAATTATATCTACGGAGGAAGGACACCCATTAACGGCGGCACAACTAGTGATAATACAGATCCCGAGCAACCGTGTACACATTTATCCATTAATGAGATTCTCAAGGAGTTTGTTCTGCAAGCTTCAGCTTCTGAAAACTGCACCATTTGTATTGTCCTCTGCGGTTCTGTTGATACACGATGATATCAGTAGTCAGGAGGCTGCGTGGGATTCAACACTTTCCCCTTCCAACCTACTCACTGGTTAGCTGTTAAAGTTACAGACGCTCAATTCTTTGTTGAGCTGAAACGTTTTGATGTTCAAACAAAAGGAGGTTTAGATTCAGCGCAATTCTACAGAGACATCCACTCTATCCTGTGACTGCTAATGTAAGATGTCCTCCCCATCTGTCAGTTGTTTCAAATATATAAAAATGCGGTTTAATGAGTATTTTGGTTGATCAAACTGTTTTATCAAAACGTGCCCATCTAGGGAGGTTAAAATTCAAAAATAGCATTAGAATCGGCTTTAAAAAATGAATCATGAGAATTTCTGAAAAGTAAGCATTTGGCACTCTACAGCTTATATTTTGCTTTCATTCTTTGCCATTTAAATGGAAATTAATCAAATAATATTGAGGTCAGACTGGACGTGGTATGATGCATCTCATCAAATGAGTAAATCAAAACTGAATCGTTTGAGTGTGCAAGTGAATCATCACACTCTAAGCCTTGACATTGCCATTTATAGATGTGTTTTGCCAGGTTGTGCATTATGCAGTTTTGAGCAATACATGATTTCACATGCATAAACCTGAACAGAGGAATTTAATATCAAGAGATATAGACATTATAATTAATTGGATGAATAAAATGGCCACCACATTAAGTGCCATCTCTTTTTCGTTCTCTTTCTCACTTCTTAATGGAACACCCTGTCAGTTTTCTGTAGCAGCTGTGTCGTCTTTCCAACAAAAAGCATTCTGGCACGTACACACAGAGCCACACGTACTTCACACAAGCACTGTTCCTCTGTGGACTGTGTGAGGAAAAAAAAAAGTCTATTTGACATGAGGGCAAGCAGCGATGACAGTTGCTACAACACCGGATTTCAAACCACCAGGGGTAACTAGCTGTGTGGTTCACTTGATAAAATTCATAAAGATAGTAAACGTGCTGCAAGCACGACTTGAAGGATGCAAAACTTTCAAGACCGAGTCAGAGCGCACCACTGGAAAAAAAGTAATAAATATAATATTTTGTTTTACAACTCTACGACTTGACCACAGTTTCTCACTCAGTTCAATACAATGAAACTTGATCTGATTTGTCATCTTTGACAAAGCTAAAACATGACGGAGAACTGAATTAGATCGAAAAATGACCCCAAGACCATTTGAATATTTTACTTCAATTTGTTTGCAATAACTGTTCAAGGCCTCTGAAACTGACACAAAGAGTCACTAAGTCATAAGAATGCACAAAAACCAAGTGAAAAGTCTCAAAACACAAAAGATACTAGAAAAACTCATTTTTACAGCATAAATCATGAACAGCTGCAACTGACATTTCATCGAGAATAGACTAATCGAACTAATCATTCCTATATAATTGTCCACAATGCTAACAAGAGCGCAGAGCAAAACATGCAATTATTGGTCGCACAAATCCGTAATTCATCACAAAACTCCTCAGTTTGCAACATCCTCAAATCAACATACCTCCAAAATGAACCTTCTTCCTAGATCTGCTAGTCTCGTCCATTGGTCCCCTTTAGTTCACCCCCGAGTCAATCCGAGAAACACTCAATTCTCCTTGCCTGAGGGGGGATTGCCACTTTTCTCGATCCCTCAGGCCCTGACGCCTAACTTCCCATCTCCAAAAACTCTCGCGTCTCCTCGAGCGCTCAGGTGAGAGCTGACCATCAGCACCACACACATGGAACAGAGAACCGTGGCATTGGAAAAGATGGTATGTAAGCTCTGTTCTCAGTGCTGTGAGAGGGAGAGAGAGTGTGTGAGAGAGGGAAAAAAAAGATGCCACAAAAAGAGGAAAAAAATCTTACTAAGGCCCACTCCTTAGCAACAGGGTTTGTACAGTGTAGAGCATGTTTCCATGGAAATATATCAATCAGGAATGTGCAGAGTGTTGCTCGGAAAGGTTCAAGAGACTTCAGCTGAATACTTGTGCTGTTACCAACCAGTCGATGCTGGATTTAACTGTAGTCGATGTTGAACACTGCACTAGATTGTCAACTTTTAAGGCTATCCAGCAGCATGTGTGATGTATCTTGGCTAGCTGTTGGATTCACCTAAAAATAAGACAGATTTGGGCAACAGTCTTCAAAAAATTTGATTATAATAACGCTGAAAGCATCGCCATGGGAACCAAATGACTATTTCATAAATCAATAAAAGAAATCAGCTGTCCTTGCAACTCTTCGAAAGCGCTTCACTCGAAGCGTGCATTGTAGCAGCCATGGATTTCAAGGCTGCCAATGGCTCCCATCTCAACATAGCATTTCTCACCTTTTCACCCTGCTTCTTTTGCAACACTAGCAAACATGGAAGAGTTTCAAAATGCCTCAGGTGACACTTATACCAAACATAGCTAGCATTTTCACCTCAGATTACTGCTAAAATGAACTCAAACTGATCAAATATGTTGCGACAACTAAATTATTGGCCATAACACGAGGGATAAAATGACGCAGGCAAAAGATCCAGTTTCGTCACACCAAATATGTATTTGGGTCAATGGCGTGACATGCATTTTTCGTCCTGATCTATTATTTTATTTTATAATATCAAAGGGAGGAACCCCTGCAAACTGTTATGACTGTCTGTCAAGGTCAATAAGTCTATTAAAGATAATTTGACCATTTAACCACAAGACACGGTTAGTTTAGAATGTACAAATGTCAAATTTTACAACCCCACAAAATCATAATTTAAATGCATTTTACCTTGGAAGATATGTTTAAAAAACTTTTTGAATATTTATTTCTTTAAAGTGTTATTAAATATATTTTAATATAACATATCTTCAACTAGATTTTTTTCCTTTTCTTTATTGTAGACACTGTTATTGACTTATTTTTCTCAAAAACTATGCAAGAATAATTTGAACATACAAAACATTTTAAAGGTGATTTGTCTAATTTTATGATGTTAAAGGGGACATAACACACACAGTTTCTGCCAAACACATGTTAATCTTGAGTACCTATAGAGTAGTATTGCATCCTTCATATTTCCGAAGAGTTTTATTAGATTTATAAAAGACAGATACAGCTGTACCGCTCCTCTCCGAAAACAGTCGAGCTCCTGGAGGCGTGCCATGGGCGGAGCTAAAGAGTCGCGAGCACACGCAGCTTTTGAGTAGTGATCGTCTGCAAGCTGTGACATCGATATAAATAAAACAGGAACAAAAACTTTATTGACTCAAATTTGATTTAATTTGTGTCTAAAACATTCGTCACCAAAATGCAGAGAACAAACACTTGCACAACTCCGTTGCTGCCCCGGTGAAACAAATGCTTCCACTGTTCCCTTAACACTGGGTTCTTTGGAAAGCTGAACAAGGTTATCTTTCCATGACAACCAAAAACACACTTCTTTAGTGTGTCTTCTTTAGTGTGCCAACAACTTCAGTAACCTGAATGAAGAATGTTGATGGGCGTGCTCTTGCTCTCACTCTGGTTGCTGTGTGCATGCGCTCTTCTGGGAGAAGGGCCCATACAAGGAATTCCGCCCTTTATGACATCATACAGGGCCATACTCTGAAAAAAAACTTTCCGAAACTTATACGAACCCTGGAGTGTATTTGGCACAGATATACTCTGTCATACATCCAACTCGCTTTTTGAAACTTTGGCCATGTTTAGCATGAGAATCCCGCTCTTTAACAGTGTAAATAAGTCAGAATGCATGCATTAGGCATCCCCTTTAACTTAAAATACTTTCTCATATAACAAAGACAACTATGCGATTAACCTAAAAAGTATAAACACTCTGGCACTTTCAAAACATTGCTATTAGAGATTTAACAATGCACCCCAAGCCAGTTGAAAATCGATATAAATATGTGACGATTCATGTTGGTTGAGATGTTAAAGTATTTGTGAAACATTTGGGGGTGGGGGTTTATATGAATGTACTTCTGAGGGGAACTGACTGTCTTCAGAAAAGTCTAGATATATTTTCTTTTCATCTTGCCTCTGTATAATGCATAATAAAGTAGCATTTATAAGCGCAGCGCTGCTTTGTTTACAGCGGTAACAAAGGAAACAATGAATAGCTGCTGTTCCATAAGAGCCACCTGCTGTCAGAGAGTGAATCTGCTTCTCATTCAGCCCATCTGCTGTTTTTGTTTGGTGCAGATATGTTTTATGTAGCATAGTTTTACAAAGCTGAAATCAGAACATTCTGTTTTTGCTTCAAATTTCTAAACTATACAATCTAATTTTAATTCCAACCAACTAAGCATAGCAACACTGGCTCAACCAATAGAAGGAGTTCGGGGCGGGACTACTTGTTTGTCAAACCAATAGCAGACAGGAAACCTGTTTGAAAACTATTTTATTTTACAATTCAGCTCTGAAATGACACACTGCACCTTTAATAACAGCATTTAGGTTAGCTGTACACATGCAGAAGCACTTACTGTGCTACTGTAGCACAACCTTAAGGCAAATGTCATGTTCCATCACATGACGGGTGAACTTAGATCTTACAGTCTGAGAGCTGAGTCAGCCAGACTCTCTCCCCGAGTCACATGGGCTAAAGCCTCTCGGCCAATGACAGCTGTTGTTCACCTCACCTCCATTCTGCTCACCACATGCTGTCGTGAACAGCTCTCCATTTGTTTAGTGTAGCTGCCAATAGCTGTATTACTGTACATGGTCATAACCAACAATCTGGACCACAGCAGAGAATTGTGTTGGCGATTTTAGACTAAAGCATGACTGTAGATTAACAACAGGATTTGGATAATTACATCATGTCAAATGCAATGCAAGTGTGTTGCAATGCAAAGCCTTTTACGGTTACTGTTATAAAGGTTCGGATGTGTTTCGATGAAGAAAACATCTAAATGCCTCTATGAAACTTGCACCACACACACATACAGGGCTGAAAAACACACAGTAGCTGCACTGATGTGGAAGGCATTCATTTGGCCCAAAATAACAACTCTCAACAGAATGTTGCCCCTGGCCCCTTCTGCCAGTTTGCACAGCGAAAATTGAGTGCACACACCAAAGCTACACAACAGCCAATGATTGTACTTACAACAAAAAAAAAAAATCTAAATTTTAACACATTTGCTCTAGAGTAGAGCTGTGATGGCTGTTAATGGCATTCCTGTGCTCTGTCCAATTTGGATATAATGCACAAATCAAATTCTCAGGTGCTCATTCACGCCCATGTTTGACGGATGAACGTGAGCATTTGATCTGAGAGGTGGACGTGTGTGCTTTGTGGCCTAGTTGCAAATGAACACTAACTGAATTAACAGCCTGATATCGCTGCAAGGCTCCTCACATATTCTGCGGGTTATCAGAGCACTGGAGAAGAATAGAGTGAGAAAAGACATAATAAGAGGATTAGGAAAAGTGTTTCTTCCCCTCACCTTGTAATATGTTGAACAATTGTGTAATTTGAAGTGTACACTTTATTTGTGATAGTTTACCGAAAATAAATATTCTGTCATCATTTACTCACCCTCATGTTGTTCTAAATTTGTATGACTTTTTTTCTGCAGTGGAACACAAAAGAAGACATTTAATAGAATGTTCGTGCTGCTCCTTTTCATACAACGAAAGTAAATGGTAACCAATGGCTGTCAGGCTCTGAAAATCAGAAAGAGCATTATAAGACATACCATAAAGTAGTCCATATGATTCAAGTGATATATTGCAAGTCTTCTGAAGCCATATGACAGCCATTCAAAGACATAAGAATAAAAAACTAAAGAAACTAAACTGAAATTATTCATTGATTTTCCCCTTCACTGCAGCTCTGAAATCTCAATCAAGTCTATTCAAATATGCTGTCGAAGACACTTCATGCAAAGTTTGACATCAACATTAACATTACTTGTCACATTTCTTTTGCATGCAAAACTATTGTACAGCTTCAGCTTTGGAATGTAGCACAGAAGTGGTATGTCTGAAATAGAGCAGCATGAACATTCTGTCAAACATCTTAATTTGAACAAAGATAGTCACATGGGTTTGGAACAGTCTTGTTACTGTTAATGAAAATTAAATCTATTACAAATTATTTTGTGTATTTGAATGACAGATGAAATAGAAAAAAATGAAAACTTAAATTTCAAACACTTCAAAAACCTCAAAACAAAAATAAGAAACGTTGCAATCGCAATTAACTGAAATGAGTTAAATGACTACAACTAAAACTAAAATAAGGGTCCGTGTAAATCCATGTATCATTAGTTCAGTCATTTTTTTATTTAATATTGAAAGAAGAAAAATTAGAAAATGGCTCCTATTTCGTTGTTTTTTGTTGTTGTTGTTCTTGTTTAAAAAAAAAAAAGTAAAAACAAGAATTCAGCTTGATTTTTCGTTTTTCGTTCAGGGGTGGAAAATAAACAGCTTGAATATTCGATTTCTACACATGGGCGGGAAGAATAATAGCTGCAGTTGTACGGATTCTCAACATGTTTATTGCAACTACATTTCCTCTTTTTCTCATCAAATCAACCAGATTAACGTATAGCTCGACACACCCCGTACTGGAGCAGAGCTAGACAGGGCTTTCTTCTGTGTAGACATAAAATTCACCTGCGCACTCACACACTGGACTGCAACACAAGATTTTTATAAATGTAGGCTAATAACTTGCCATTTCAGTTTGTTTCTCACCAAACCCTACAGTATACCTTTCAGAACCCTTGGAATCTACTACGGCACGAGTTGCATAGGATTATTTTACGACACATTAAAAAAAGTGAAAGTCACGATTCTCTGCCATTAAATGGGCAAGTGCAAGCAGGACATTTTTATTTATTTACAGTGGGTATAGAAAAGCCCTTTAAAATTATCACATTTTGTTGCTTTACAGCTTGAAATGAAGACGGACACAGTTTTTGTTTTATCCAGCTGTATTTACTAAACATCCAAGTGAAACATATAACACCAACATGTCAGAAAAAAAAACAGCATTACTGCTGTTCCGTAAGTGCCACCTGCTGTCAGAGAGTTAATTTGCGGTCTCATTCAGTGTCTCTGCTGTATTTGTTTCGTGCAGATGTTTTATGTAGTACAGTTTCACAAAACTAAAGTCAGACCATTCTGTTTTTGCTTTTATAATTTATACAATCTAATACAATTATATATAGATTAAAAACTGCTCATGCTGCATATATACAGCATCTTTGTTTAGATCGTGATTAAAATACAGTGGTTGCCTCTAGTTTTGAATGGAAAGAGCACAGGCAAAGCCTTAGTTTCTTTATATGAAGAGCTTTTTTTTGTCTTATTTCTTTATTTGATTCAGGGTTTCTTTATAAAATTTAGTTTTGTTATTTGACATATTTCAATTTCACAAAGAAATGTGCAGCATTTTGTCCAAGCAAAAAAAAGTACACCTTTTCATTTATAATTTGTCTTAAATCTCATTTTGTTAAAAAAAATCGTATTGTGAAATCAGTATCGTGAATCGTATCGCCTCCTGAGTTGAGTGAATTGTTACATCCCTACATAATATACTACATACAATGATAGTAAAATAACACTGGTGTGGGTGAGTAAATAATGACAGAAGTATCATTTTTGGTGCACTATGCCTTTAAATTGGCAGTGAATGAGATCAAGTTCAAAGTGTGTGTTTGTGTGTAGACACTCACAGGGTCTGTCCTCGTTGGGTTTGCTTGGGATCTCTTCCACGCATTCTGCTGGGAACCAGCCTACATTCCCTCGGGCACTGCCTTCCCAGAATCCTCCTTCTCCAATACTGAGAACTACGTATGAGAAAGTCAGCAAATATATATATATATATATATATATATATATACCACCATATAGTGTCTTCCTGGCACAGCACTGTAAAGCTTGCGTTTGGACCCTGGAGTGTCCATGCCGGAGAAGACATCCCTGTTGGTGGGAATACAAGAAGCAAAATCTGAATATTAAAATGATAAACAGAATTATAATATAATACAATTTAACACACACACACACACACACTAATATATATAAAACATTATTTGCATATTAAATATAATACATACCACACAGATATATTGTTTTTATTACAAATGCTAACAACAGTGTGTTATATATAGTGTGTCTATATTTATCATATTTCTGATATATTTACTTAAACACTTATGAAATAATTATATATTACTATTACATTATACATAGAATTCTGGCATTATGAAACACAGCTGTCCAAGCTGTCAGTATAAAAATCGTATGGCATCATACAAGCAACTTCCTGTTCACACATGCCCTACCTCACAACCTCTCAAGGTCCCTGTGGCATCTGGCGACTTCAGCCTATAAGAGCAGGTGAAATTGGGACAAAGCACCTACATGTGCCCTCTACGTGCCTCCTGCTTTTTTAAGCCTCCACTGAGACCCTCTCAATGTCACCACCCAAAGTCAACACACCCAGATTAGCCTTCTTATGTAATAAAGCTTGACGAAGATAATACAGATGTGATGTGCTTTTTTTGGAGCCCGCAAAGTGTTTACACGCTAAACAGTCCTAAACAGATACACCTGGTTTATTACTTTAAAATGACAAAAGTGCGAAAATTGTGATGATAAATGGAGAATACCAAAAAGTGGTAACACAATCCGGAACAGCTGTGAGAAAATCACCATATGATATATGATGCAAACAGCACACTGTGCCACATTTTAAGAGCAAACTAAATCGGCTGCACAGCGCCGCAAAATTAACTCTCAGCTACAAACTGCAGCAAATCTGTTCAGCCAATCAGATTGAAGTGCTGAGAATCTAAAAAAAAAAAAAAGACCACAACAATATTTTAAGCATCAAAAATACCAGAAATATAACTTACTTGCTACCGACTGTAGTTATATGAATAAGCATAAAACAAAAACAAAATCCTAATTTGCTTATGTCGCTTACCGATATCTAATAATCAACTTTCAAATGGCCTCACGTACAGAATCTACACCAGCTGGAAGAAAAACAAGCATATTTCAGCAAACCATAAATGAGGGGCTTACTCATTTAGAGCACCGCCTATGGCAGCCAACCGGTCTGCCAATGTAACTAGCTGTCAAAACCGAACAGCGAAGCTTTCTTATCCAGCTTCATCCAAAGACAATTACATAAGCTGTGCTTCGCATCTTATTTTTGGAGGGAAAAAGCAAAAAAGAGTTAATGTGGGCTGAGGTATTTATGCAAAACAGGGAGGAAGGAAACAAGGCCAGTAAGTGTTAGAAATCGGTTCAAGCACTGCACGTATAGTCACATCCACAGGTCTATTTTTAATCAAGCTGGAAGGAAATAAAGTCTCATCATCTTTAAGATTTTGAAACAGCAATCAAAATATGACCACAGTGGCAGATTAGCTGCTATGGCAAACGCTTGGCTAGCACATAACTGCACATTCGTACAGTGAAATTATGTTTATATTGACAGCTATAGAGTTAAACTTAGCTCAATCTAAATCGGGCTTCATTTAACTCTGCAGGAGTTCATTAAACACTGGTAATTTTACCGGGGTCTGGCTGTGTGTACTGTTTATTTGATTAGCATGCTGCAGGCTATACTGTATGGTTCAAGCTACAGGATGTGTTATTCAACTTGTCCAAGGCATTACACCAAGACTTTATGAACATATTTTTCTTTATGAACGAGTTGTTCATTTTTAATGACAAAGAAGTAAAAATAAAAACTTCACAATGCCACTTTTCCAAATCGATGTGTGGTAATGTTAATGCTAATGTGAAATCCATTATGCTAAGTAAGAAAGCCAGGAAATACGGAATGGCATCATGGCAAAATGATGTCAGTGTGGTACAAGAGAAGTGTTTTCAAAATATCTTTTATGACAAAAAATTCATACACAGTAGCCCAGCCAAAATAATAATAATCAAAGGTTTTGGCTAGTTTATCTTTATATAGGAAAAAAGTAATAAAAAACATAGCATGTACGTATCTATCTATCTATCTATCTATCTATATATATATATATCTATAAATATAAATATAATATAAATAATATATTTAAATAATATTATACACACATTGTTTTTCCCTATATAAAAATATATGTAATGAAATGTGAATATTAATTACATGTGTGTATGTATGTATTATATACATACACACACACACCTTTTTAGACACCTTTGTAGTACTGTAGTATTTTTCAAAGTAGTTTGAAAAATCTTGAAAAAAACAAAAAACTAAATGTAAATACCACAGTACTTGTTTACATGGGTAGATCTTCAAAACAACTCCAAACAAGCGGCATGCTGTATCTACAACATGACCTTTACTGGCACGAGATGGAGTGTCTCATATTTCCCTTGTTTATAGCGGTTGACAAATGGCAATATGACGCTACAACTGACTACATCTGCTTCGATTCCATTCTGAGCCTCTGAAGAGCAGCCACATTATCTAATACACCATGTAGTAGAAGCCACATAGAAGACACATAGACACCGACCGAAAGTGACACACTCACACATGTACACACAACATACGGACATAGCCATAGCAACTGCTGCTGTAACTAAGGAATAGCGTTCCATTTGAGCTGCACATGCAGGCACAGAACCAATGATATTTACACGGGTTCGACATTGGCACTAGCTGGAATCGAAGACCCCGGTTTTGGAGCCAAAAGACCAGATGTGTAGTCTTTGTTTTCGGTTGTTGTCCGTTTTTATTTAGGCTGGCCCGCATCAGCAGCGTAAATGCCATTGTAAAACATGTCTAGAACAACAAACAAATCTATATAGGCTGCAGCATGAGAAATGAGAGGAGAACAGGGTCAAATACCAGAGGAGTTAATTCTTCCTTTTTAAAATGACATCTAATTAGAGGAGTTTTTTGCAGTGGAAGTGAGTAATTGGCCTGGCCCACTTACTGTACCGAGCCTGCTCTCGCGCTAGAACCCCTGTTGAGTGACAAGATTCGCACACCCACCGACACACATGTATGCGCGGAGACGCACACAAGCACACACACTCGTGCATGCTTTCACTACATGACAAGCACCCACGCATGCATTCACTCACAGGGAAATATATATGCATGGCCACACACACACATGCTCTCTATCTTCCTGAGCAGATTCTTGCCTCTCACTGTGGCCTAACTGTTTGCCAAGTCTCCATATTGCACCTTTGTATTTTGCGCTTCTACACCCAAAGTCACAAAGCTAAAAAAAACAACAGCCCGGGCGTCTGTCCAAACCCATCCTGGATCAGGTGCATGTCGCATTGCAAATGCAACCCAACCCTGGCTGCTCAGGTTATTTTACAGACAGATGTCCAAATATTTGTCGCTGTTTCTTTTCAAGGCCATAAGCAAATCGCATGGGTTTCATGTGTACCATTCAACGCTAAAGTCACATACTGTAGTTGTCTATATGCTGTAATAGAAATTCATCTATTCACCCTCATGTAGTTCCAAATATGACCAAATATTCCAAGTATGACTGTTTTCTTTTGTGAACCAAATTAGGAGAAATTTTGAAGAATGTCCCAGCTGCTCTTTTCATTATAATAATACTAAATTGGCACGGAGGCTTTTAAGTGCCAAAAAGGAAGCAAAGGCACCATAAAACTAATGTATAAATAGCACATACCAAGTGTTCTGAAGCAACAGAATAGTTTTGCATAAAAATAAAAAATTAAGAACAACATGAGTGTGAGAAAACAAAACATACTTTATTGTTTTTGGGTGAACTATCCCTTTACTTTTGTAAAAACTCACTGGTACATGCAAATTAATTTAATCGATTTTTCAATATGAATTATTTCTAAAATGTACCCTTTTCAAACTTATATAAAAGTCATACTTACGTAAAAGAAACTATAGGAGGTTTCAAAATATTCTTTTATCTCTAATACTGTCACGAGCCGCTACTGTGAGGAGCACGGAGCGAGGAACGAGGAGACGTGGAATAAACTTCAAACAAACTGACTTTAATTATCATCAAGGGAACCAGGAACACACACGTAGCAGGGAGAAACAAACATTCAATACCAGACAAACCCAGAACGCAAAGGCATAGACTTAAATACAGGGGATGATTGGGGAAACACAGGTGCATGGATCATAATCAAACTAATAGACTGAATGAGGACAGGAACATGACCAAATAAGGGCAAAACAGGAACAGAAACCGGGGCAAAACAGGTCCATGATCCTGACATATCGCCCCCCTCCCGGAAGGCGCGTCCTCGCGCCGTAGAAACAACATGGGCTGGGGCGGATGGGAACTAAGGAGGAGGTTCCGGAGGAGGACGGACACCCGGGAGGGGGCCGTCAGACAGAGTCCAGGGAGGTGACGATGGAGGGAGGAGCCAGGGAGGCGACAGGAAGCACTTGGAGCAGGAGGAGTCCAGCTGGACCGGAGCCGGAGGGACGAAGGGACAAGGCACAGCCGGAGGAGTGGAGTCCCGAGGCGCAGGATGGTCGACGCCAGACCAAGGCGGAGCCGGAGGGACGAGGGAGCCCGGCGGAGCTAGTGGACTGCCGGGCCACGGTGGAGAGGAGGGAGCTAGGAGCCATGGTGGAGCTGACGGGTCCACGGGCCGAGGCGGAGTCCGGGGTTTAGAGGCCAGGGATGGCAGTCCCGCGGAGCTCGCACCTGGCTGATGGTGGGCTGAGGGCGAGCAGAGGTGCTGCCAGACGACAGCGGCGGAGGGTGGGTTGGTGGGTATTTGTGAGCCTCCGGGCTTAACTTGGGACCAGGGGCCCTCTCAGGGCTGGACGTGGGAACAGGAGCCTTCTCTGGGCTGGACGTGGGAACAGGAGCTTTCTCTGGACTAGACATGGGAACAGGAACTTTCTCTGGGCTAAACCTCTGGGACTGGAGCCCTCTCTAGGCTAAACTCGGGGACTGGAACACTCTCTGGGCTAAACTCTGGGTGCAGTGGGTGGAGCTCCACTCCGCGCTCTCTCTGTCCGCGGCATTTTCCCTCGTGGTGGGCTCTGTTGCCGGCTCTCGCACCTTGACTGACGTCACTAGCAGCTCCGGCTCCGCCAACGGCTGGTTGGCCGCGGCGAGCTCAGGCTCTCCGTCAGCGGTGGGCTCGGGCATGCGCTCTGCGCAGCGGGGAGATGGTGGGCTGGGCACTGGGTCAGGAGTGGATCCGGCAAGATTATTCACAAGGCAGATGGTGAATGGCGATCCATTTCTCGCCAGAATCCACTCCACGAAGGCGGAGAAATCCGCTCGAGCGATCTTTCCCCCTCCTCTAGCAGGAGGAGGAGGTATTCAGGGCGGGCGAGAGGATCCATGGGCACAACGGAAACAAAAAACACTGGGTAAAAACGGAAACAAAAACGGAGGGAACACACGGAGGTAACTGTTTTTTGGTCTGGTATTCTGTCACGATGCGCTACTGTGAGGAGCACGGAGCGAGGAACGAGGAGACGTGGAATAAACTTCAAACAAACGGACTTTAATTATCATCAAGGGAACCAGGAACACACACGTAGCAGGGAGAAACGAACATTCAATACCAGACAAACCCAGAACGCAAAGGCATAGACTTAAATACAGGGGATGATTGGGGGAAAACAGGTGCATGGGATCATAATCAAACTAATAGACTGAACGAGGACAGGAACATGACAGAAACAGGGGCAAAACAGGTCCATGATCCTGACAAATACAATGCACTTTAAAAATTAATAGTTTATTCATTATTCAATAAGTCGCCAAGGGAAGGACTGTTCACTTAAAAACACAGTATATTAAATACTCACTCAATAGGATATTTCTTCTATAAGTGCCACAGAATAAACGTGTTTTATGTATTTATTTATTTATTTATTTTTAACAGTCATACAGTCATGTGTTTATGTCTTAACTATATCAGCATTTTAATCCATCTCGTAGATGTCCTGGGAACTAAGGTTCACTTGAAGTGGGAATGTCTATACAGTCTCAAAGAATTGTTTCTTACACAGAATCTGTGCCAATATAAGACCATAACTATGTCAGCATCACTTGGCCATTGAGTGTAGTTTGGGCTCCCCCTCAATGCATCCTATAAATGTTGTCATATATTTTTCAATATGAATTATTTCTAAAATTTACCCTTTTCAAACTTACATAAAAGTCATACTTGCGTAAAATAAACTAGGAGGTTTCAAAATATTATTTTATCTCTAATACAATGCACTTTAAAAATTAATAGTTTATTCATTATTCAATAAGTCGCCAAGGGAAGGACTGTTCACTTAAAAACACTGAACAACATGTACATATTAAATACTCACTCAATAGGATATTTCTTCTGGTTTTCCCCAACAAATGTATGATTATGGTATATGTTTTACATCCTGCTAAACTATATTACTTTATATAGAATTGTTATATAGAATTGTTAACGATGTTGCTAATGTCCACACAGCTGAAAGCGTTACCTGTTGTAGTTTGTTCAAGTTATGCACGAAACAGACACTGCTTTTCTGCACTTTTACTTTGCACGTCTGACTCTTTTTCCACTAAATCTTTTATGCGCATCGTCTCAGTTTATTACGTCAACATAACAAAAGATGTGATCGCAAAACAACCAGGAAAAAAAGGCATTACATAGAAATTTTTAAATCATAACGTAAATGTATATAGTCGCCAGTGGCGATCTCAGCAAAAACTTCACTTGCAAATTAATATTTTTGGTCGCAAATGCGTCTGTTTTAGGTGCAGTCTGGAGCACTGGTCAGTGTTTTTTATCATTCATCAGCTGGAAAAAGTGATTACACTGATACCATTCCTCTATTTTGTTATCGTTATTGTTGTGGTGTGAACTCTAATTCTAATTTATCATAGAATTAGAAACAATTTTAAAACATTATCGTTATAGTGTTAACAGGCCTTAATTATGGATCTAATGTCCTGAAAACTCCAAAAAGTAACATTTTTAAAAAAACAGGCATCCCTGCAGTCCAGTCCATATCCCATAGACCAATTCCCGACACTTGACCTATTTGCATCCACACATGGCCTTATAAAAATAACACAGATTTGCCATAAATAGGGCCTCTGGTGGCAACAGATAAAAACAACTTTGTCCTCACAGAAAAGGACACATTGCAGCCCGGACATAAGGGACCCACACAAAACTGGACACACGGTCAGACATGGACACAGTGACAGTAGTCCTCAAGTCCCATTGCTCCCTTTTGGGACGGCCACTGACCTGCTGTGGCGCTGAGGGGTCTGTCTCCGTGCGTCTCCCTCCCCCAGCCGGCCCAGGGAAGGGGAACGGCTTCGGGCGGAGCGTCCCCCCCGGGCCATGGTCTTCACCGTGCCATTGGGGCTGTTCTGCATCTGCTGGGGGTGTCGGGGCGAGAGGCTGTGCAGGGGGGAAGCGGCAGGAGAGGGCGAGCGAGAGCGGTCCAGCGGTAACTTGTTGACGTTCAGGTTGTTGTCGCTGTTGGAGCGGAGCAGCACACGTGGGGCGGCAAGAGTGCTCCTACCCTGGTGCTGCAGCGGCCTGCTCCGACCCGTGCCTGCCGGTGCCTCCCGGAAAGGCACTGGGAGAGATACAGAAAGAAAGAGTGATTAAATAAAAAGAATAGAACAGACTGTTTATACAAAGTGTGAAGTGGACTTTCAACTACTCCGTCTGCATCAAAGTAGTTCAGCTTTTTTAGGTGTCCTTCATTCCAATGAAATTGAGAATAATTAGAGCATGAGTAACGAGTGTTCAAGTACAAGCTGCTAGACTGTGCTTCAGCTTTTTACTACATACAAAGAACTGTCACATTAAAAGACCGAATGCTGTCTGCTCATCAAGTTCACAATCACCCAGTTTGATGCTCATTTACTGAATTAATGAATAAATTTGTTGCTGCTGAATTTATGTCATCAACTGTCAGAACTCAGACCAAATCAATGTTGCACATCTAAATCCGTTAAATTCTAGCTAAAGGAAAAATCCAGGTTAATTGAGCAAATAATTTGTTAACACTGTACAATTATGTTCAATATATTAAAATTAGTTAATTCAAAAGCTAAAATGGACTAACAATAAACAATACTTTCCCAGCATTTATTAATTAGGGATAATTTCTTCATATACTAATACATTAAAAAATTTCAAGTTGTATAGGATTACATTATTTGCTGTATTATGAAAGAGCATGAATTAAAAAAGAAAAGTATATTGATAAATTAACATTAACCTAGATTAATAAATGCTGTAAAAATTTGAAGCTTATGTGTTACCATTAACTTCAAGTCACCCCTCAGTTTACAAAAACACACAAAATAGGTATTTGCTAACTGAAATCATTTAGGGACAGTAATACTGGTGGATTCTATGAATTGTTCAAGTAATGTTTAATTCAAAAGTGGTTGTTAGTTGATAAGTAAATCATCCTTTTTGAGGTAGAATTACTTTTCTAGGTCAATGGACTTTATCATTTACTAATGTAATTCCTCTGAGTAAAGTTTGCTCCATGTAAACAGAAACTTAGCGGATATATCACTTTTTGGTATCCTTAAGGGTATCCCACAAAACCAGTTACCAGGCTTACTGTACTTAAATGTGTCATGAAATAGTGTCATATCTTTAAAGCTGAAGTTTGCCATTTTTTCAATGTTAAATACACTACAGTTTGGGACTGGTAAGAATTTGTAATGTTTTAAAAGAAGTCTCTTATTCGCCAAGGATCCTTCAGAAATCATAATATGCTGATTTGCTGCTCAAGAAACATTTCTTCTAATTATGAAACACTTGTGCTGCTTAATATTTTTGTGGAAAGAAGTCATACTTTTTGTCTGTATTTTTTTTTAATCATCTGGACAGATAAAGAAAGTTCAAAAGAACATTAATTTGAAATAAAAATCATTTATACATTTTGTAAATGTATAAATGTCTTTGTCACTTTTGATAAATTTAACACATCCTTGCAAAATAAAATCTCTAATTCTTTCTTTAAAAACAAATCTCTTACTGAACCCAAACTTTTGAACGATAGTGTACTTTCTTCTATCCCAGCATACTATGCAGAGATGACTACAGTATAAGTATTTGTAAGTTGTTAACACTGTGTTTTGTTTTTTATTCCAAATTAGACCAGCATAGCAACACTGGTTTAGCCAAATAGAATTTGGGGTGGAGCTATCTATTTTAGCCGACCAATGGCAGACTGTTTGGGAAACCTGTCTGAAAACAAGCAGTTTGGTGTTGCTAGTAGTGCAAACAAATACCAACTTCAGCTATAACTTTTACTTCAATGCCCAATAGACTTTATAAAAGCATTTTTTTTTTTTTTAACTGAGAGATGAGTCAAATACATTTCTTGTGGAAATCAACGAAGATACATCTTAGTACTCCTTTAATACAGTAAACAAAGTGTTTTTTTGTTTCTTAAACACCAAGACTATGCCGATCACTCTGGTCTCCAGAGACATACACCCACAGCAGCCAACTTCTCTGGTTCCAAGGTGATATGCACACATTTCAGGACCAAATGAAGCCTACATCTCCACAACAGCCCCCGTCTTGGGCATAGGGGAAATCCCTTGAGTTCACTGTTCGCACTGTATGCATGATGAATGCCTATAATTACTTATCTGCTGCCATGTTAAAGGTGGTTCAGGAAGACGTTTATCCAAAGGAGCTTGTTTCTCAGAAACACTAGGCCGCTGAAAGGCACAGTTCACACATGAACTAGATATCACTTGTTGGGTGAGACAAACGCTATAAATATATTCTGAAAAATAACCCAGGAGAAGCATTGAGAAGAATTATGTCGCTAAACACACATCAGTCTCCCCTGTTCATTAATGTGCTGATGTAATGGCAACGTGAAGCAGTTAGATCACCTTCACTGTCATGGAAGGTTTTCATTGGATGATGTTCATTATGACAAACAGTCTCAGAGATACATATGCTCCTGTTTATTATTTAAAAGGCTACTGTAGGGGGATCATTACGGCAATAATGTACAAACCCAACCCCCCACAAGCCGTGAAGAAATCCACCCAGCCCTCACTGATGTGGCAGGTGATGCCACATGAAACCTGCCAATGAAAAGAAACCGACACTGATAATGTCACAAAATTATAAAAAAAAACTACATGGTTTATATAGGCACCAACTATGGTTTATTTCTGGCACCAACTGAAGACGATGACATCACAAGCACATAGGCTGCCCGAACACGTTTGTTTTGGAACGCTGATGAAACAGTCGTTTCCTTCAAACAATTGAAATCAAAGTGGCAACATTCCAACTGCAACATTCTAAATATAAAAAAATTTATCAATTCCAATAAACAAAACTGTAGGAAAGGTAGAACAAATATGGAATTCTTAGAATATCCAAGAAGATTAAAAATTCACAGCATGAAGTTGATTGAATTCCTTGCAGAAGGAAATGACTCTCTCAAAGTGATGTTCTCTCCACCTCACACTAATTCACTCTTGACCTCACAAGATTCAACTTTCTTTATAATCTGTCATAATATATGATAGAACTCAAATACTTTTTCCTCAGCTAAGAAAAGTCGGAACACCGTGTAGCTCTAAGGCTGGAGTTCTGAGCATGAATCCCATGGAACAGAAGTCACCAAATATCAGAGAAGCCTGCTCTAGACTCTCAAAACCCCAAAAGATCACCTCTTACCTTCTTTCTTGAAGGCATTCAGTAAAGACTTCATATCTCCTCTGAGTTTATTGCTTAATAACTCCCTTGGAATGTCCGTTTCGCCTTGAGGAACTTGGAATCAGAAGGTCAGGATCTCCTGGACTGAGGTTCCTCTGTCAGTAAAGCACGAGAGAGAGGGTTATGGAGAAGGCAAGCACTGTGGGGACAGTGCCCGCTCCACATGATGCCGACTGTGACTGCGAGAGGAAACAGCTGAGTGCACAAGCCTCGCATGTTTCTTCGTTCTCTCTCTCTCTCTCGCTGACACACATACGTACACACTCTCTCGCCCCGCCCCCTTTTCTCTCTCTATCTCTCTTCCTCTACATCACTCTCTCCCCGCCACCAAATCATTCACTGTACTATCAGTTCAAGCCTCCCCCTGTTTGGATTCCTATAGGCAAGACAGAAGACTGATTGGAGTGTGTTGTTGAATCAGCTGTGTGACAAGACCATGCTGGGATAATTTGATTCAAAACCATTATGACACAAAGTACTGAGATAAACACAGTTGCCCCAAAATTCTTCAAGTTTGGCCCATCAGTGGCTGGCGATATCATCAGAAGGGTTTTTAAAATTCGCTGGCGACCACCCACCGAACATGCAATCAAGACGCTTGAATTAACTTGCGACAATGAGAAGGTGTTATTGATTAGGGATTTTAACCCTTGTTGGCTCTGTATGGGAATCAAGCCCCCGAGTGTTGCTAAGCAACCCAGGGATGGATGTCTAAATTAGTCAGTGCAAGTTGCCGGGTTGTGAATTCTCCCGTTACCCATGTATGTGGGCTGTCCTTTCACACTAGCAATTCACAATTTCCTCTCAAGCTCTCTTTCCCTCTCTCTCTTTTTATCCCCTCCTCCCATTTTCTGGCATGAGATGAAAAAAAAGATCTTTGAGGAAACAAGGAAGGAAGGAATTCTTGCATATTAAAATCAGTGTCAGGGTATGATGTCATCAGCATATATATGGATATGGAGTTGATAAATATACAGAGGGATCCCAAAGTCTGAGACCACTAGTGCAAATCTTTACATTTTGCTTTAGATTCTAATGAGAAAAAAAATGAGTGAAAAATTGAATTAAAAAATAAACATAAACTTCAGAATTTGGTTTGGACTGCTGCTTTAATGACAGCAGTATTCAAACTGACATGAACTTCCCAAGTTTGTGCAAAACCTGATTATCCACAAAAATTGATTTACTGAATGAATGAATAAAAAAATTATTTACAAATTGTTTAGGATTTGTTAACCAATAATTGATTTCCCAACAGAGTTTGTACTTAACTGAAAGTAAAATAAATTTTTGTTAATTGAAATAAATCTGAAAAATAAATAAATAAATATCAGATAAAAACTTTATAAAAACTTAAAGCATTGCGTTAGCAGCGCAAAAGGTCATGGGTTCGATTCCCAGGGAACACACATACTGGTAAAAAATGTATAGCCTGACTGATATATATGTATGTATATATAAAAGCATGAAAATAAAAATGACAAAATCACACAATTATTAAAACTTATAATTAAAATGATAACTGAAAATAAAAGCTAATTTAAAATATTTATAGATACTATAATAGCATATAAATAATACTAATAGCATATAAATAATACTAAAATAACACTGTTTGACGTTTGCTACCAATATTCAAACTTTTTCTTTCATCAGTTCTTCATTACCACATCACATAACAGTTTTTTGAAATACTTAAATTTTTATTTCCAGATTAAAAAAAAAAAATCCCCACAAAATCACAGATTTTCAAGATGGTCTAATGACTTTTGGACCCCATATGTCTCCGAATGTACACTGCTGATTATATGACTTGTACATAGCAGGGATGGACAGAGCAGAACAATAAATCCAACATAA